AGGAGTAAAAACTGGGGAAAATAAGTAGTTTTACATGTAAGAAAACTGAACTGTCACAGAGACTTAGAACCAAGATGTGAGGAGACAGTTCATAAATCCATTCATCAGGTGCAGTTTTAAATCTGAAAAAAAAATAGATCCTGGCAATTTTGTCAGGCAGAGGTATCGTGAAAAGATCTGGGACATTACCTAATACGTGTACTGACTAACAGTTTCAGAAAATATGAAAATGGGATATCCATTCCATCCCTGCACAGCCCGCGTGATCTAAAATTTACTTCACCACAAGGTCACACAGCTAAGGAGAGAGCGAGGCCGAAACTGCATTTTGTGGTGACGATATGTGAAAGATTTACTTTTCACTTTTTTCACTTCATCATTTTCTTTCACTTCATTTCAAAGTTCAACCCACACTTTTAGCTCATGAGGAGATGCTCTCGCTGGTAAAAAAAAAAAAAAAAGAAAGAAAGAGGAACATTAGAAATCTCATTCTCAATTTCATTTGTGCAGTATGATTGCTCCCATGCACTGGCAGATGAGCAGTTTTTTACCGTGCATCAAAGGGAATCATAGAACTCTTGTCTATGTAATCATTGACACCACGTTCAGCTCTCTAATGTTTGAAAGTAAACCCTTGCTATGGCAAGTTTTTGTTTTTTAAATATGACCACATGTTGTGAAGATGCTCCAAGTCAGCAGGACCCTCCACCGTTCACTGTGCCACAGCAGGAACTTCTTGCTGAGGTAAGGATGAGCACCACATGGATCTATATTGTGTCAGCCAACCCAAGGAGTACAAAGGTTTCCACTTTCTGTGTTTATGTGGACACATCAGACCCACATACGCAGAGAAAGATAATATATCTGAAGTGTTGCGGCTGTGATTTCTAGAATAAGTGTAAAAAAAAAACAAGAAAAGAATACTAAATATACATTTAAGAAGCCAAGATTACAGTCGCTAATTTACTTTAACAAGGGATTTCTGTTATCTAATTGTATTGTTGCAGCTGAGTTCCAAATCAAATTATCTTACATTTTCTGTGCAAGCAAAATATAAAAAAAATGTTTTGTTAAAAAAACAAACAAACAGAAAAACAGTGTAACGTGTTGATTTAATCTAAGTGATGATATAAGAGGTTCATTCATTTAGACAGATGCAAACTGCTGAACACATATCACATATCATGATCATGTATTGATATAAAGGTAATTTTTTTTAAAGACAATTAGCTGCTGAAAGATAGATGCGTACATTGCTGGGGAGAGGCATTGTTTAAAAAACATATACACTCATATATTATACATTGAAAATGCATCTCTCTGAGGCCTTCCTCCCTCTCATTCTCTCATCTCCCTCTCCAGTTTTCTTTCATGTGGGAGGCAGCACTGGGCACCCAGCCATGCCACATCAATATGCACACTGGCGAAATGCTTCCCCTGCTCAGCCTCTGCTGCATTGCCGGAGCCCGAAGTTGTGGAAGCTCTGGGCTAATGTCACCAGATATGGCGGCCCGCCGTTAACTAGTGGTTAGTTAACGGAAGACGGAAAAGCGTCGCACTCCCCACTGCGGAAAGGCCAAAGCCAGACCGGCCTTGTCATAGCAACCTGCCACGGTGGCAGCCCGTCGACGCAGACAACGCCAGCCAGCGCCACCCTGGAGGCAGCTTGGATTGTACCCAAACAAGGTTCCCTGGGAGCCCGGGTTGCCATGGCGGCAGCCGAATTTGGGTCCAAAAAACGTGAGAGGAACAGGCGGTGGACTGGGGAGGGGGACTCGGGGTAGCAATACAGAGGACAGAGGAAGTGAAAGGGGGTTCCCAATTGCCATGGCAATCTTAAAAAATCAATCCTGGTTTTCAAAGGGCGTCAAAAAAGTAAAAAAAACGAAACAGTGTTGACAGTAATATATTAATGAAACACATTAAAATAACACCGATGATGAGCTAACAACAGTCATGAAATAAAGAAGGAAATTGAGAAACCTGATGGTGGCTGGTGCCGTTACAGATGCAAAAGCCTTCTAAAGAGACAACTTTAGAGCTATTTGATTTAATTCACTTACGGTGAAGTTTCAATTTAAAAGAATAAAGCTCAACTTTCAGATCTGTGGAGTTACAAAGTGATAAATGTACTTATGTTTTACCTCACAAGGTCACGGCTATAAACATCGTGAGCTCATAAATTACTATAGTCAGGTTAAGAGGAGTCAGAACTGTTTTCATCCTGCACAAATATAGCACATTCAACCATGAGCTAAATTGAATGTTTTGAAAGACTCCACTCTCCAGGCTTCTCTGCTCTGTCACTTCCCTCAGAATCAACTAAGTGGCTTTAGATTACCTAACCCTGATCTCTGAATTCTAAAACCCATCTTTTCTTAATTAAAAAGTTTTCATGACGGAAACGCATCAAGGGAATTCTGAGCACTTAGTTTTACTCCCTTCGCTGACAGACTGACGAGCAAAGTAACAAACAGCTGAGACAGTGAACAATACAGAGTTTTCTCAGTGTTGCCTCCCCACCATGGTGTCCCTAAGATCCCAACTCTTTGCACGTTCCAAACTTAAACTCCTCCGTAAAAAACCTGCTGCTTGGCTCGCGGTTCTGTAAATCATGCAAAGCAGAGAGCATTGTACTTGGTCTGGAAAAAATATCCTTGTATATTGAGCAGACACAAATATATGCACATATGCACTCTCACGCACATGCCGCGGAATCTTGCCAAAAGGGACGCCATCCCCTGCACCGCTTTGTACAAGACAGACAGGCACATGCAGTCATTGACTTAGCTCACAATGTGAACCCTACTAAACAGCATACCTTCCTGATTTTGTGCTGGTAGTACTAAACAAAGCCCACTGTTAGTTGCATTATGACTATTTTGGTAAAGATTTTCAACAGCAGGGTGGAACCAGAATAGTTTGAAAACAACCTGAAACGTCGCTTACTCCATCTGAAGGAGGTAAATGTAGATAAGTGTAACAAGTTCAGGCGAATCATATCAAATAAATGGCGACATATAGAAATAACATAGCTTTAGGAATAAACGTAGGACTGTGCTAGGAACTGTTCCAAAAGCACATAGCTGAAATATAAGCTGTTAAGTTTTTTTCAAAGACTGTTTCCATTTTACCCAGCGCTGCTGCTGCCTGTCACCAGGCTTTCCATCATTTCTTCACGTTTTGCCTTCCTCAATTTGAGGTTTTAAGTTATGTTTTTTTTTCACTTGACTCCCTTGAAAACCTATTTTTCTGTAATCCTGGTTGAAGGAGCACTGCTGGCAGCAGTGAAGGGGAGCACATGTATCAATATTTTATTAAGCAAATATCTTAAAAAGTCCATAATGATAATGCCTTCACCTTCCTCTAAGGATGGAGACTGTGGTCATCTCCCATCAAAGATCAAACAAACATGAACGAACGTGCACTCTAACACCATTTCTACTCCAAATTCATCCTGTTATCTAAACAAGCACTGTCCTCTTGTCAGCGTCAGTGGGCTCCTTTCTCTGTCTCCTCGGAATAAAGAAAGACTCTCCTGCTCACAGATGAATGGAGTCTTTTGATAAAGAGCTGAGCCTTGTTTACCGCAACTCCATAGTCCTGTTTTTCAAGTCAGCATTGAGGGACACTCCACCAAACACCCACCGAAACTGAACCAGTCCCCTTCATTTAAACCCCTGCTAAACAACAAACTCCTTACAGAACACATTCATACAAAACACGCACATTATTCCCACTCTCAATCCCGTGTTGCTCCCTATCACGTCTCAGCCCGCTTTCTTTTCTTTTCTCCCTCTAGTGTCCTAGATCTGTGTCCAAACTGATTTGAGGCTTACTCGCTTACAGAGACGCATGCCAAAATTGATTCTTTGCATTCTGCTGTGCTGCTCGGCTCCACCCCCCCTCCCCAGACCCCAATCAACACCACCATGCCCCCACCCCTCCATTCTGTTCTCCACCATCTCGCGGTGTAACGAACACCAAACGATGCCTTTGCAAGGAATATTACTCACTGAGGGAAAGTGACATGATCAGAGAAACTGACATGCACCATCTGATGATGTGAAATGTCTTAAGCAGAAAGAAATGAATAGCCAAATTAGCGGTCAAACAAATCTAATAAAGTAAAAGCAATCAACTCTTGCTAGACAAAAGGCAAACTAAACTGCAATCACAGCCAGTATAATGATGCCTAAATGATCTTTTTCTTTTCACTTATAAAAGTTTAAATACTCTAGCTTATTGAATATGGAATTTCAAAATGTAAGTAAAAAAAGCCACATCTGGCTGGTATAAAGACCTCTTCTCGCAGTAAATTAAATTAAAATTTGGTCACAGAAAAAAAGAAAACACAGCTGAAAGCATTAAAGTCAACGGTCATAGCTCCTAATAGCCTGCGCTCACAAAAATCGAAAGAAACTAGAAAAACAGTCCCATTAAGTGGGAGAATGTTTGCGCTAACAAGTTATACATTTTTCTGTAGCTGCAAAAAAGGGAGTCCAGGGTGCTAATGAGGCTAGGGAAGGGCATTCATTTGAACCCTAAAGAAGAATAAAAGAAAAGGGGAACAAGAGATGGAAAGAAAAGAAACGAGAAGAAAGAGAGGATCAGAGGGAGGAGGTTGGCAGGCACTGAGTATGAAAATTTGGCACCTTCCGCACGCAGAGATACCATCGTGCCAAAAACGGCCGCCGACACAACTCCTCTCACTTTCAACATCAAACTCCTTTGCTGTGTTGAGCATGCCCACAAAATTATATTACTATTCTTTAGCCCAAATGTGCGAGATAAAATACGTTATTTTAAGCCTTGTTTTCTAAATCACTGCTCATGGAACTTTTTATTAATCAGAGCAAACTCGGCTACTTCTTAAGAAAAGCATAACGGGAAAATCTATATTAAAAACTATAGCAATTATAGGCCGTGGAGCCTTGGATGTTAAAAGCAGCGTAGTGACTCTTAGCTTGACTATAGCTGTAAGGCACTGAATAGCGCCATTAGGCAGCCACAACAGCCTTTGCCAGGGCCTCGCTGTGAGTGCAGTCCGGTGAATAAGCCGTCTTCCCTGGCTCTGCCTCTATTCTGGCTGGCCCGCATAGGAGTAAGCGTTGCCCACTGCACTCTTTCTCCCGCTCCTCCTCTGCCTCTCTTTCTCTCTGAGGTCGGGAAACCCTCCTGAGTGGGTATATGGTTTTTGGGGACAGACGCATTTCATGGTTGGCGCCACTACAAAAGCCTGAAAAGAGACCCGGCACTGGGAAGACACAGTATTAATACAGACAATACCTCCCCCTCACTGCTTCTGATTCGCTCGTTCTTTTCTTTTTTTTTCTGTTCTGTTTCGCCTTTCTCTCTTTTTCTGCTTCCCTTTTTTTTTATTCCCTCTTTTACACATTTCAGGTGTTATTTTCCAAATAAAAATGTTTAAAAAGCCTATTCAGCTCGAGTAAAGAATGTTTCTCTGTAATAAATAATTGTGCTTGCCTACTCTAATTTTATTTGACAATCATTAATGTGTTTTAACATGCAATAAAATCTCACCACTGTAAGACAAGGTTCAAAAGTGTGTGAAAACACATGCCCAGTCACACACACATACACACACACACACACACACACACACACGAAAAGCTATGTATTAATATAAGCAATGCCCTAAACTCCTAATGCTATTATTTAAAAACATTAATCACATATCACATCATTTTATTTAACTATATATTGCCGTATGAAAATACATTTTTTGTTTAAAATTATTCTACATTTAAAGAGATAAATAAATATATGAATAAAAATAAAGATAAAATACACTACGAAGAAAATGTGTGACATGTAAATTAATTTTGATATAAAGCATATAATTTATTCTGAGAAACTACAGAATAAAAAAGTTAAAAAGGACTGTTTAAATACATGATTTCTGTCGATTGAAAAATAGAAGAAAAAAAATCTCACAGCTTAGTTTCATTCATTCAGTGCGAAAAGAGAGAATAATCAAACAGCATAAACTGTCTTATTTGTCTGTTCCAACACAGAGCTGACCTCTCAGTGTCACTGGAATAATCTGTTTACCACGTATCTCCCAACGCTGAAACTCCCCACACAAAAAGAAACAGATGTGGGCAGACCAGAAATGTTCATGGCTTTTAGTCTCTCCCAAGCCAGACACCGCCAAAGCAACGAGGGCTTATGGTCATTATGTCCGAGGCAAAAGGCAGGGTTTCTAGAGCAAAGGGACTGCATCAAGGGGAATGCCAGTGTGCGCTGGTCAGTTTAATGGAAGACCAAACATGACAACATTGTCTTTGACTCGCCTCTGTCCTGTTTTTTTATTTATTTTCTCTTTGAATCTGCTTGTCATTATGGTCTCGAGAGATAAAGACAGACCCTGTGGTTCTGGATCGATCTACATATGTCTGCCGCGGTTCAAACTTAGCCATACTCTTTTGTATGTGCGCGTGCATGTTTTCAAGCAAAGAGAGTATACAACAGGGCTTTTTTGGCTAGACTGATACGAACAGCGATCCAAATGCACTTTTTTTTGTAGGCCGGCGACTGAGTGAGGACATTCCCTCTCGCTCTGTGTCTCTAACAGGACGGGGTTCTCCCTGAATCTTAACCCTTTTGAATTTTATCTTGCAGTTATCTTCGTGTGTCCTCGATGCCAGGCGGAGACACGTACCCGCTTAAATGAAAGCTATCAGTAAACATTTGCCGATGCCAAAGCTTCTCTGCATGCGGAGGGCTTTTCATAGCCGACGCGGGCCCTGTTCCCACCGCACAACACAAAAGCCCCTCCGACCTGACGGACTCCCCGAGTGTCAAGATTTCATTTAATCAAAACTTCACTGCTGAGGGGTCGCCCTTCGTCTGCGCTCGCGCTGAAAGAAACACTTGCGCACAAGGACAGTTCAGTCAATGACTGCGGTGTCATGGGAGCCTGAGAAGAGACCAGGAGGTAATTAATAACAGATTATTTTCAAAGGAAGAAAAACTGAGCAGTGGGAACCTGTGGATCACAGCCTTCTGTCAACTTCAACGTCAGCCCAGAGTCTCCCCCCCCCCATTCTCTTCCTTTCCTAAAACTATATTTCTCGTCTTTCTCCCACGTTTTTACCTTCTGTTTTGCAAACCCATAAATTGAATTTTCCTCGGCGACGAACGCGAGAGGGGTTTTTATTTTGTGAAGCCTCGCTGTGGTCAACGGGTGTGCTGGGGGGGGTTGGCCGCAGAGCCAGGGGTTTCTCGGGGCTTTCTCACAGCGCTGTCCAAGGCATTACTACTGCTATAGTGAGGCGGAGGCGGGATCTGGCACCGTGGAGCGGTCATTGCAGAAATGGCAAAGCGAGCACATTTCACACCTCCCTCAGAGTGACTGCAAATTTCCTGTACGGCACTTTTGATTGGAAACACATTTGAAACATCTTTTCATGATCACACTTTACGGCGTACAAAGAGAAGGGGAAAAAAAAAAAAAGCAATACGAATAAGGTCCAAACTATGAGTAAGCGCAGTGAGCTAACTTTGGATCTGACATGTTTTTTTTTGTTGTTTTTTTTCATCTTTTATTTTTCCAACCTTGAATAAATCAGAAATGTGCTGAGTTTAATAAAAAAAAAACAGCACAGGGATTATAAATCAAGTAGTCGTCTGTACACTGTGAGAAGCAGCTAAATAATTTCTCCTTAGATAGTTTAAAAGTGGAGCCACCTACACAGTAGTCAGACTCGCTGAAGAGAGAATTATATCTGAATAAGTACTTGAATAAGCCGGTTCAACACTCTCCATTCATGGGTTACCTAAGGGACCCTGCCAGTGTGTGGTACTCTTGGGATTTTGAGCCAAGAGATCATTATCTCTATTATAGGATACCAGTCTCTCACCTCTAATAAACCACTAAAAATACACTACTCATTCCACCGCACCACAGTCACTCTTCTGCTTTCCTTAATTTGTTGGCAATATTTCAGTTGCAAGGTCCAAGTGCATATAAATCTGGGGGAGATTCGAGGGGGAGAAGGTTCTGTACTGTGGTGGTGCGGTTTATTCTGTAACGGCCGCGGTGTGTTATGCTCTGTGACGGAGAAGATCTCCAAGGCAGGCTGGCTGCACAACAGTCTGAAAAGCCTAACGGCAAGCCCAGAGATTCCCCGCGGCAGCTTTTGCCACTCTGTCATAAACAAAACACAAGACGTCTTTCTCCTCTTCCCACACCAACGGGGCTCTGGCGCTGCCAAACACAGTACAATCACTATTGTTGCCTCCTCTCCTTTTCCAACATGCTCTCTCTGCATCACTCCCTCTCTGTGTCTCCTACAATATAAACAAAAGAGATCAGCAGAGGCTTTACCTCTGTGAGAGAAACAATGAGAGTGATGTTTAAGGAGACAAAACAAAAGTGTGTACGGGATCAAAGAGGCGCGCGGAAGACAGGGTTGCTAAAGACGGACAAAATACAATCCAAACAAAAACCAATAATGGGCCCATCTTGTTCCTCAATGCGCACAAGTGGCTAAACATACAACCATCCATCGCAGTAGCAGATCAGTGATAAATGAAGGCGGACTGTCCCACCTCTTCATCAAAAAATATGCAATTGAAAAATAAACGAGTGCCAATTGTGAGAACAGTGGCAATCCAGTGAAACATTAGTTTCCCCGCTATTCACCCTCCAGTCTGTCTGCAGACCCCTGAAGTGTCTCTCAAACGACAACTTAAATTGAGCCCTGGCTCTTTGAAAGAAGATAATAGCACTGCGGCAGACTGTGTTAGTCAGATAAGATAAGAGGGAACACACAGTAAATAGACATTATGAATGGACAGCGCACGGGGCAGCGGGCAGCGGTGTGTTTTACTGGACTGCTGTAAACCAAAGTACTGTAGCAACACATGTACCGCAACATCGAACAGCTGACAGTGTCGGACGAGGAAACTTTTACAGTTTGGGCGTGTGCATGCAGTCGCGTAATAATACCAGCGGAAAACACATTAAGTTAAAAAAAAGTTTGACGTTTTCACAATAAAAACACAAAGCCAGAATGCCCGAATGAACACAGCTCTTAACTTAAAAAATAAAAAAACTCTAAAAAATTTAAATTCCTCATGGAGGTGCATTTTATGCTAATGCAGTTTAGAAATAAAACCTCATTGAACCAGCATAACTGAGGAAGTTTTGCCAGACTAGAGAGGCTTTCTTAACCTTGATTTTATGGTGATTAAATCCAACAACTCTTTCCATTGATGTGTTATCCCATTGAAATCCACATATATTGAGCTAAGTGTTAATGAATATAATACACTAGTTAAAGAAACAGAAAGCAGCACACTTTAACATTGTAAATTTGTTTTTTGTCATGCTGAATAACTTTGTGAAGTTGCCCCAGAATTGCCAAAGCTAAACAGCTAAACAGCTAAACTCAGTTTCAAATAGATTTTGCAAAATCGAAAGAAGATAAAAAATAAAAAAAAACTAAAATTATTATTGAAACAGTGTGACAGACTGCCTCCTGCCTGTTGTTAATAACCACCAAAGACAGACTAACAGAGAGAAGCTGCAGCTACTGCCAGGGTTTGGCTCGGGCCGCATGAGGTGTTTGGCCTGTACTGAGACTTTGTGTGTGTGTGTGTCACAAAGAAAGAAACACAGAGGGCCGGCTGTGATAGTATTTGGCTAAATGTTACTGGCGAACAAAAAGATTGTGCTTAAGCTGAGAGCAAATGTGTGTATTTAGGCGGTGACTGGGCTACGCTGCGTATATATATGTGCCGACTGAGTCACTGTTTGAAATTTTCCAAAAAATTCCAGCTGAGATAATATTAGGTCATGAGCTTGTTTGAACATCCAGCCAGTGAATGGCGAAGTAGTGTGTGTTCGGAGGATTTGGCTGTGAAATGTATTTTGTGTAAGTGTGTGTGCGTGTGTTGTGATGGTGTTTCTTGCAGTGTGGGGGGGGGGACAAAAAAAACCCCCAAAACACAACCAGTGTTTTGGCCATGCGTGCAGAGAACACGCACTGGAGGCTACAGTGATGTTTGGCCGGGTGCGAGAGCGTGTGTATCCACGATGGTGGCTGAGATACAACATTGTCTGGCTGTACAAAACTGTACGATAGTTCCTGGCTGAATGTGCACACTGTGTGGGTGTGTAGACACAATTGTGACAAAAACTATGTTCCCCCATTCTCTTAAATAAATAAATAGATAAGAAGAATATGTGCAGCCCCGTTCAGCTGTGTTAGCATGTGAGTGTATGGGTGAAAAGGTAGCTGCAGTGTTAATGTCTGTCTTTGCGCGTTTGCCGTTGGTGTGTGAGCATGTGTTTGGCAGCCAGGTCCAATGTTGTGCTAGTGTTTAGGCAGACAGCGAGGGTGGCGGCAGCCTGCGGCCTAAGAGCAGGAGACTCACGGCTCTGCTCCTTTTCTCTCTTTCTTTCTCACACACATAAAACCGCGCAACTTGGGATGTGGCCAAATTACAATCCCCGACTATAATAGTCTTATTATGACACTTTGAACAATGTTTTAGGAAAGTAATTCTTCTTTGTGCAGCATCGATCACACCATTGCACAGAATTTTAGAGCGGCGATCATCACAAACACACAAGCGAATGCACGGGGAATGTAATTTTTTCCTATATAAACACACAAAATACATCCTCACACTAAACCCCAAATGCCTCACAATGAAATATGAACTCATATTGGCTAGAGTAAACTGGAGGAACGCCCCTTAAGATGCGCTCAAAATTATTTATATGTCAGTTGTCAAGCAAACAAAAACAGAACTAAACTATAAAAAAAGAAAATATGAAATATATGTGATGTTAGTTCTTTTTTTTGGTGGGAAAAAGCATTTTTGCTTTTTCCCACCAAAAAAAAAGAACTAAAAGACATAATTTTGCCTTTTGAAATTAACTTTTGAAATGAGCTGCATCACATTAAATAAAATGTATTAAACAACATTTTAAAAGCAACTTTTTCAGCACTTTCAATTTTAATTCACACTTTGATGTGAAACACCTTAGGAGAAGTATTTTAAATGTCTTTTTTTTTCTACTCTTCTTTTAACTATTAGTCACACAGGCAAGTGTGCATGCTTATGAATGAGCATATGTTATTATCAGAGTACTCTAACAAATACTGGATATATTGCGTATGTGGGGTGTGTGTGTGTGTGTGCTGGCATTCCTCTCTCAGAGTGTCTCGTGACCAGGTGAAAACATACCTGGTGTGTGGACAAAGTAGGCCAGGTAAAGGTCCAGCTCCTTGACAGACACTCCGATGTGGTGTGGCTGGACACACAAACCGGGGTTGGTGCACTGTGGTGACTTGACCAGCCGCTCTCCGTCCGTGCTCTCTAAGGGGCTGCCCTTGAACAGGATGACCATCACCAGGTCCAACCGCCACACCTTGTCGGCCTGGCGCAGGCAGTCGATGCGACGGATCTTGCCCTTCTGGTCGGGGTTGGACAGCACGCAGCAGGGGGGCTTTTTGCCCGTGATGGTGAGCACAAAGTCCTCACGGAACTCGGGCCGGATGTCCTTGCGGAGCTTGGCCAGCAGGCGCGAGGCCCACTTCTGCTTAATCTCTGGCTTCTCCCCGAGTAGCTCATCCTTCACCGCGCGCTCTTCCTCCTTGGACATGCGCTTCTCGTGCTTCTTGAAGTACTTGCGCTTGCGGGCCTGCAGGTTGAACCAGGTGTAGGCGAAGGCGCGGACATGGGGCAGGAGGGCCTCGATGAAGGGGTGGAATTCATCCTGGATGAGAGAGGAGGACGGGGGGAGGGCGGAGGACGACAGGGAGGAGGGGGGGAAGCAGGAGGAGGCAGAGGAGAGAGAGGGGGAGAACGGGGGAGAGAAAGACGGGGAGAGAGGTAGCGGGGGTGAGGAGGGGAAGAGAGAAGACAGGCAGTTAGCACCGGCACGCAGCATGGAGGAGCAGCGCCTGCTCCGTGTGAGCAGAGGGAGTGAATGAGAGAGAGGCGCTAAGAGACTGACAGAAAGAGAGATAGAGACAGAGAGAGAGGGAAGGATGCTTTCTACTCAAATACGGACACATCACACTGAAGGACGCGCTCACAATCCACCGAACAACACCATACAGAAGGACTAAGGTAAGAGATGATAAAACTGATGAGCGAAAAAAAAGAAAAAGAAAGCCCACTGGGTTTTCTTTATAACAGTGTCACATTGGTGCGTAAATACATCAATATAAGCAATAGTTTTTGGCATAAAATTGTATACAATCTAACATGAACCACCATAAAACAAAAATAGTGTGAAATATGGAAAACTATGCATTCTCAAAAGTAACATTTTTAGCTTTACAAAATACGATGCAAACAAATATAATATATTAATAACTAATATAATGACAAACAAATTCCAATTATTAACTCTAAAAGACTCCAATTAGAAAGCAACAAAAAAAAGAGATCCTCCATAAACAACTTCACTGTGCCAGCACTAAAATTAATTAACAGTAACGGATTTTAAAAATAGGTAAATAAAACAAGAATCACGTGATAGTTACCATTTCTCTCTTTCATCATAAATTCATTCCATCGATTGCACAGAAAATTAAAATGCACGGCCAGTGCAGTAAGTGGACTATTGAGCCCGGAAATACTGCTGTGAATAACAGAAAACAAAAGACTGAAGAAGAAGGAAAAAAAACAAGAGAAAAACAGAAGCTGAGAAACTGTCCAATAAAAGCAGCAGGGGGTTGGGGGGGGGGGGGGTAATCTGAGTGAGGAGACAGGCCAATTAGGTACAGTGTAATACCAGTTCAAGAACACAGGAGGTACTGTAGCAAGAGCTGCAGAGGAGGTGCTGTTCAGGAGCACAGCAGAAGGAGAGTGGAGAGAAGTTTTGCAATCTGTATATCTAGAAAGGTTTAGAAAAGAGAGAGCTGGATTTGCTGGAATTTAAAAAAAGCCAATAATGCAGGCAAAAAAGATCAACTTGTCAAAAAACAAAACAAGCTTCTTTGCGAAAAACATGTTGGAAAAATATCTTGTTTAAAAAAAAACAACCAAAAATTGGTGGCAGAACGGCACGTGCTAGTGACTCAATTCTGATCTGCATAGGACTCACGGTGAAGGAGAGAGAGAGCTGGACAAGGGGGTGCGGACGGAGGAGAAGAAGAAGAAGGAGAAGAAGAAGATGAAAAAAAAACAAAAACAAGAGGAGCGAATAAATGTTGGAAGACTGTGCACGACCGCTGGCAAACCCGAGTGCAGCTTCTTTTTTCCCCCCTCTTTCTCTCCAACTCTGCCTCTCTCTTTCTCTCTTCCTCTCCACTTTCCGTCTCTAACCATTGACTGAGTCGGTGCCAACATGCAGAGGGCCCACCTATTTGGCACCGAGTCTCAAACAGCCCAGCCAATACGCACGCTCCCAGCGCTCAAAGGGAGGGAAGAGAGAGATGGCAGAGGGAGAAGCAAAAGAGGTGGGGGGGTGTGGATGGTTGGTGGCGGAGGGAGGGAGGGGGTGGGGGTGGACTGTGTGTGGTGCACGCAGAAGGCACGTCATTAGCCAAACAAGTTCCAATCTAGTGCAAAGGCAAAGTCCAGAGGATATTAATTTTACATGCATCCAGACAGCGCCCAATTTCTAAAGCTCCAGCAAGCCAGCCTCCCAAAAACTGCCTTCGTCACTGACGTGGTCACAGCCACCCCAACAAACCAGCTCTTAGGCACCCCCCCCACCCTTCAGAAAACACCCCTCTCTCTCTCTCTCTCTCTCTGTGCTCGCGTTACACCACCTTGGCATGGGATGGCATGAGAAAACACAGACCCAAAATCCCACTAGACCCTGAGACCAGCAGCTGCTCCTGGATTTACCACACAAACAAAGAGAGGAGGGGGAAGAAAAAAGCGCCCCCATCCAAACCCCCCCACCCCCCACCACCCCACCACCCCCCCCAAACAAAAAATACCATCCAAAAACATGCTCTCTTGTTTCAAAATGCACACTTACATCCAAACTGGCCCCCTTTTCCTCCGCGTCTCTCCATTACCCCCCATTCTTTTTTTTGTCACTCCATTTGAACAGCCCCAACAGCACAGACGCAGAAACACATCAAAAGTTTCTGTTACTAAATTAAGGATCAATCCCATTTTGGGGTGAGAGACGAGTCAGTATAGCACCACTGAAAATTGAATTTTATTACTCTATGTGACAATTAGAACAACCTAAAGCAGGTTAAGCCCACCCTTTTTTTTCACAATTATTGTCTTGCTTTCAATCTAAGTTTTTTGGGCGTTTTTATTTGCAATGGTTAAAAATGCAAACGTTTTTTGATGCAGAAAGTAAATCAACCATGTTTCGAATGTACTATATAATGACAGAACATAAGTGGGGATAAAAATAACCCGAAAGTGGGGGAACACAGTTAAGCATAGTTGCTCTTTGTCTGGTCCTCATTCAATGATCTCTGCGGCCTAAGAGGAACAAACTGTGTTCCTGGCACCATGCGAGAAAAAAGCTGACACAAAAGCTCTAACCTGAGGACCAATCGAGCCTAATCGGATGCATCTGCGAGAAAATAATATCCCTGTGATGATTTTATTTGAAACAAGAATAGAACACCCTTCTAATTGGAACTGCAGATAAATGTCAGCCTTCCAGAAACAAATTTGCTCATTTGGGCTCTCCGGTTGACATGAAATAGTCCGTGAAGGCTCACAGGAATTGAAGAGATATTGTCAAAACGAGAGTCTCAAAAAAGTGGGCAGCCATAAAAAAGCTAACTTGTCATGTGGCAAAGTTGAGGACACAGCCATGTGATTGTGGGGTGAAGCCACCTGCTGTGCAGTGGGACAAGTTGTCTGTGTGAACGCCCAACAATGGCTAGAGTCCTCCGGTTGGCTCCCAGGACCATCAGATTTAGTACGGCCTGCCCCTCCTGTCAATGTCTGACAGAGGAGCTTCGGCCCGGATGACTGGCTGGTCCGCTGATGGGCTGGCAAGCTGTCCGTAAGTTTGGCTGAAAATCTGTATTACTGGCTGGGTGAATGACTGGTTGGCAGCTAAGGCAGGTGGCTAACTGGCTAGCTTGTACCCGGGCTTACTGGCCAGTCACTGCCGTTTGGACCGGTCAGAGCCGGGCCCGGTGCCGCTTGTTTCGTTGACATACGCCTGCCTCACACAGCCGCAACCAATGTGGATAATAATACAAGATGATGATCGTGGCAAGAAAAGAAACATACAAAACAGGCCACAAATGAATGGAGTTGAAAGGGAGTGTGTGTTTTGCTTTCGCAGAATAATGAAAGAGGTGTTTACCACTTATTGGAAAAGAGATTTAGACTTTTTCATGAACAGGACATGGGAAAGATATGTGTGCAATATGTGCCATGTGCTGTCACTCGTATTATTGTACAACCACAGATAAAATAACATTAAATAATCAGTGTAACCAAGTGGCATTTCCTGTGTTGTGATATTTTCTTTTCCAAACCTAAAAACCTCCACTTAAATCACCACATCACAAAATCGACATGAAAAACTGAAAGGAATCTATCGCTAGACTATAATTCAGTGCATATTACCAACCAAGTACTATTTTCATATGTGATAATTTATTTTAAAACATGTTCCCTTTTCAAAACCGCTCCAGGCCTTCTGATCAGAAACTGGGCCACATGCATAGAGGTCTATGCATAATTTGCAGTTAAGGCAAAATCTTTTACGATCTTGGCCAAGAAATGAGTCTGTGTGGCACCCTATTATTTAATGTGTCCTTTTTTCTTATATTGACATTTTCAAACCCACATTTCTTCCTTTCCTTCCTTCCTTCTTTCCTTCCTTCCTTGTTTCTCATTTGTGAATGTTTCTCCTTGATGCTCAAAAGACTTTATAGCAAAAAAAGGGCTAATTTTTCTTAAAGTAGTAGGCTAATGTTGCAAGATATTGCAAGGCAGATTAAGATAAATAAATAAATTAAGTGCTTCTCTCGTCAATGCTTGCCGTGCTCTATTTTACATCAAAACTGTTATTAACTATACGGGTTGTGTAAACTGTTCCTCGTCCAGTATGAGCCGTGGTACAATATAATAAGAACGAAAGTGGTAGAAACTGCCAGAAGACACGAATACAAACTAAAACAATCATGGGACTTCCTTTATAAAATTCAGGCAGAAGAAAACAGAGACGACGGCTCTATTTTCTTTTCTTTTTTTCCAGAAAAGGCTTGAGCGAATACAAATCAAAGTCGTATGGTATGGACGGAACAAAAAAGAAGTGTAAGATTTATTTAAAATTAGAAAAGATCTCGATAAAAAAAAAAAAAAAATCGATTTTGTTTCCATTTTATCACCCGAAATAAATTCTAGTATCTAACCCAGTAGGAACACTTATAAATTAGACCTCTAATAAAACAGGAGAGAAAACCTTAATCTGTTTTTTTATTCATTTATTTATTTTCTATCTCATTTAATTTCTAGAATATATTAATAAACTTATAGGCTACTTTTCTTTGTGGTCAACCTCATTTGGCTCAGCTGACCCTCACGGGCGCTGCTCACAGCCTCAGTCGGACTTTAATCTGTTTTAGTTCTTCATGATCAAATACGTATCTTGTAGACTGCTCGACCACTCTGAATATATTTTTAAAAAACCCGTTTTCACCTGTGCACGTGTGTTATTTACATTTCCTAAGCAGTGACGAATCAAGTCGAGGGGTTTTTCTTTCTATCTTTCCGGAGCGGCGTCCAAGAGAAAAAAGGACGAAAGTGGGGGCTAAACTTCGGATG